AAAAAAAAAAAAAAAAAAAAAAGTAACAACAACAAAGGCAGGTAGGTGTGGGTTTGCGCATTTCTCGTACAAAGCTCTCCTATCAAAGCCTTGCATCTGAACATTCTGGCTAACATTAGCTCAATGCAGCACCACCAAATCTTCCTTTGCCCACACTTAGAAAGAGCACCTTCATTTTGAAGTCCTCCAGCTGCCACAACTTTCCCTCCTATTTAAATCCTGGAGTTTGAGTACAACTGATATTTTCCTTAATTCAAGGAAAGAGCAGATGCACCTTCAAAGGTGCCACGATAGGACAAGGTGGGTGGGATAAAAGAACAAACTAACATCCATCAAGACCACAATCCTCATGTTAAAATTTCCCATCAGCCCTGTGTCAATATGGCCCTCTAAAACTGAATGAGCTCAAAGGAAAGCATTCCTAAGTTTATCATCTTTGTGCCTAAGTGTAACCCAGCAGTACCCAGGGTCCTAGTTAAGAGTACAGATGCTTATTCCCACTAGGCTATTATTGAATGAAAATATATTGAGAGAAATGAAGAAAAAGAAAGTTTACAAAATACAGGCTCCAGTTCCACTTTTATTTGTATACAAAAATATATTACAATGGAGGAAGCATATTACTATTTCCAACTATATATAATTACAAATATTTTCATAAAAGCACTTTAAATTACAGAAAAGTTATGTTTTAAAAGAAAAATACAACATTAGCATAGATCATCTGTTCTAATACATTGCAGGTAGGGAAACAAAATCAGTTTCACCATCTGAATTGCCCAGAGGAAGGACGAAGAGCTAATCTTAGAGTGGACCTAAGAATGGCCTGGTGGTAGATAAATGAATGCTCATCTCTTTTTCCTCTGGCAGCAGCTGATTTTCTAGTAGCTGATTTTTCCAGGTCCTGGGAGCTTTTTGAAGCTTCTTTTATGTGATGTAAGGACCTGGAACTCCTTACTTCACATACCTGCAGAAAGGAGATAGGTCAAGTCAGCCACTCACAGAAGTTCACAATTCTTAGGCTTAGCCACATCACAGAGTCTCAGACTGGCATCAAAGCACTAAACTTAATGGCAGACTTCCCACATAATGTGTCCGATTAACTGGAATGACTGGGCAGCCAGCTGCGATTATCATGAAGAAGAGAGGCTTGTTACATGAGTCTGATACAAATTGTGCCTCAATTATAATAATCTCTGTCACAACAGGCCTAGGTCCTCTGATGTAGGATGGTGGTGCATATAAGAAAAAGGGCAATAAAATCTTCAAGTAAATGGAAATGATATAAAGACTTTCTACCTGATACGTCACAAAGAGTATTAAGAACAGTTCTTTTGGAGCTGGGGATTTAGCTCAGTAGCTCTGTGCCTGCCTCGCAAGCACAAGGTCCTGCGTTCGATCCCAGGTACCACAAAACAAACAAACAAACAAAAAACAGTTCTTTTTAAGTAGCCACTTTCGGATCTAATTTAGTAGAGTATAGCATAAAATGCCTCATATAGAAAATTCACCCTTTCATCAAAAATATTAAGAGACTGTGACAAGATTCTCTGAGGCCTATCCCATGACTGAACAAGACCCTGCTGCCATGAAACCATTTGTGGAAACTCATTCTGGAAACTTACATTGGTCCTCCTGGCTCTCACAACCTTGTCTTTTCAAATATGTGTATGTAGAAAGATTGTGACAGTTCCTCCCTCTAGACCTCCCTGTTGCAGTTATGATCTGATGTCTCCAGCTTCCAATATTTTTGGTCATAAAAAATAGGTTACCATTAGTATAATTCCTGAATGCGAAGCAAGTGTGGTGTACTTCATTTGGGTCACTTGATAATTGACTTGGTCTCCCCAAGCCAGTCCTCTCCTTGGCACTCAAGTCTGAGATGAGAGACCCCACCAAGATCCTGAGAAATACGGGGAAATTACCCTGGACCCTGGGATGGAAGGCTCCAGCTTGCTAGAGTAAGGCTTGTGCGACTGAACGGATCGTTTCTTCTCTGAGAAACCCGGCCATCAGGGTGGTGACGCTCCAGTCTTGCTGCTCAATTTCCATTTCCCAAACAAAAAACCACTATTTGCTGGTGACCTGTTCTCACCAAACACACTCTAATATGTTTATCCACAGAAAATCTTTCTGAGCCACTAGGCCTATTTCTAAACCCAAAGAAGCTTTATGATGTAACTTCCTGCCCCCAGCCAAGCTGGTAAACATTATAGCACTTTATCAGAAGTGTCAGTTAGCTTTTTCTCTGATTTTTTTTTTAATAGCAGGCATGTACTCACTTGCTAATGTTCTGTCAAGATCAGCAATAAAGTCCTCCAACTCTTTTGTGTCTCCTAACTTGGCTGTAAAAAGAGGAGAGTTTGTTTTCCATATTAAAGATGATCCCATGTTTAAGTTTTCAAAGATAAGAGAATTTCCAGGATTATGGAATGGATCATTTTCATTTTACATCTCTATCTTTAAAAAGGAAAGCTTATTGAAGTGTATCCTGTACCAGCCCTAAGTTTAATTCCTGCTGTCCTTGCCTCTTGATGTAATTTTGCTTGTGTCACTACCCTAGGGAAATATACAGCCCTCAGAACCCTTCCAGGGTGAAATAGATAAAGAACTACTATTGTTCCTCATTCCATTATCCTACCTAGATGCCAGCACAAGCTATTAAGTCCATATTTAGATTCTGTTCTCTCCAAAGCCTGCAGTATAGACTTTATCCATCTATTTCACTTGGCTCTGTAGTGTTTATCATTTGAGCCTTCCCTGAAATGCACTGCTACAAATAGTTCATTGTTCTTAGTTTTTCAAGTCACTTTGCCACTGGGGGGCTATTTTCCCTCTTTAATTCCTACAGAATTAGGCAGCAAATCTAAGCACAATTTAAGCCACCTTCTAGACTACTCCATCTCTGAATTCCACAGATTCATTAAAAACTGAAAGCTGGACAATGGCTGAATCCCCGGTGGCTGCTAATGCTGCTGGGTTAAGAAAAGAATTTTAAAATACCTCCTTCAAGAAAGAGAAAAGTTCTGTCTTAATGCCAGATTGAGAAAAGTGATGGAATCTTCATATTTCTTTTTAATGTATTTTCACTTTATGGCATTTTACAACCATTTTCAGCAAATATAACATTACTTAGGAGGGAGAAACCTCCCTTTGTTTTCAAAAGGGCACTTGTCCAGTATAAGAGAACATTAAACTTTCTGACTAGGGACACTCTGCGAGTTCCAAAAAAAGAGAAATGGCTCATGCATCCTTAAAAACTTTTTAGTTCTATTAGTAATCACAGTAGCACCAGACTAAAGCTGCTATTTTGAATTATATTACATCACTGCCTGTCTCACAATGATGAGCCTGTTTAATTACTAAACTGGTCATCTGAAAGTATTGGTTAAACAGTTAATGCAATAAAAAACAATCCTCCTTTTTATAAAGCCAAACTGCTGAGCTTTAAATTCTAGAACCAACTAGACAGGGAGGAACCTAGTGAGAAGATATCCTTTGGTACAGCCTCATTTATACCACATGAGAGAACCGTCTAGCATTTACAAGTTATCTTTCTTTGGGTGTAGAACCCCAAAATCATCTGATCTTGTTCTAACACCAATCAAAACACTAAGATGTAATAAATTCCACTTCACATTCTCCCCTACTAAGATATTATCCTCATCTGTCTGCTTGCATGTTTGGGAAAGGTTGGCTGGGGATAAAGGAAAGAGAGAAGAGCTGAGAAGTAGGCAAACTCACGCTCTGACTAAGGAGCTTACCTTTCCGAGGGGTGATGGAGGGAGATAGTAGGGCTGGGGCAGAGTCTGTTGGAGAATTTAGTTTTTCATCACTGAAGCTGAAGCTGTTTCTGTAAAGTGAATCTGCACCTTCCAGAAAAGAAATCATACTCATTAAAATGGTAGTCAGTAAACTGTAGACTCGTCAGTCTATTAACTCCAGATAAGAAGTTTATCTTCAAAAGGAACAAAAATGGCAAATCTTTAGTAAGCAGAGAGAATTCCAGATTTTATGTTTATTCCCCTCAATGATTACAGGAAGGGCGGACTGCATATGTGCATGTGAGCATGTGTCTCCAGTCAAGCACAGCAAAACCCTTGCTTCCTTAAAAAACTATGATGGAATCATTAGGACCAGACCTCTTCTGGCACACAGAAGCAACTGAACAAATGTCAACCCCAATGATCAAGCAATAAAAAATGTCCCTCTGCCCTCTGAATCTCCTAAAATACAAGCACAAAGTTGGGCCCTTTGACTTAATAATCTTCTCTCCCAGCCAGGAATGGTGGTACTCTGAGAGGCTGAGGCAGAAGGACTGCAAGTTCAAACTCAGCCTGGTCAACTTAGTGACTTAGCTAAGAGACTTAGTGACTTGTCTCAAAATTTAAAAAAATTTTTTTCTGTTTGAGATTGGGTCTCTTTACATAGTTCAGGCTGACCATGGACTCACTATGTAGCCCACCCAGGCTGACCTTGAACTCTCAGTAATCCTTCCAGCTCAGCCTCCCAAGTGCTGGAATCATAGGCAAGTGCCACGACATGTGGCTCAAAAAAAAAATTTTTGTTTTTAAAGGGCTTGAGAAAGGTCCTGGGTTCAATAACACACACACATACACACAAATTATCATCATCTTCATCCTTGCTCTCTGGTCATGAGAATTTTTATCATGAATCTCTCTCCCAAGATCTTACAGTCTAGGGACAAGCTAGAGTCGAAAATGAAGATTTCCAGTGGTCTATCTACAACAGACATGCAAGGGGTCTCACTATTCCTATTCTCATACTTCCAAAGTGACGGAAGGCAAAGTCCCTACCGAAGCAGGGCTACAGGAGGCCCAGAAGCAAATGCCCTTGAGCAAGCAGTGTATCTTGTCCTCAATAAAAATAGAAAGTTAAGACTTAATGATCCTTAAAGCGCCCCCCCTCCCCCGCCAGCCTTGGAGTTCTGAGATTCGATTTCTCTAGGTTCTGCTGAGGAGAAGGAAACCAGCCCTCTGTCAGCCCAGTGCCAGCCCTGAGGGGTGGTGACATGTAGAGAGTAGCACCGAGTCAGAGAGCTCAAAAGCACAGCAGGCAGCGGAAGCAGGATGTGGCCACTGTGGTCACAATGGAACAGCCTCCCAGTTAATGCAGAACACAAAAACCAGCCCAGGTTGTAGCATAGACAAGCTCTGGAAAGGCTCTTCTGGTGAGGAGAGTGGCTAAATACTGAGGGCATTGCTGGGCTGCCTCTTTCCCTTAGAGTTCCTTTACTTTAAGGTAATTCTGTTCAGCTCAAGGGAGACAAAAACATCTTGCTTTGGTTCCCTTAAGTCAAAATGAATTTAACTAAGTCACATAAGACATGTTAGAAAAGAATTAGTACTTCAGAAAGAGGTTTCTGGTCTGGAAAGAATTCAGCTTCATTACTTAAAGGCCACTACCTTTTAAGGCACCTTAGCTGGCTTTCTTTCCTCCTTCCTTCTGACCAGGTGGCCCAGCCGCCATCTTGTTTTCTTTCTTTCCACATGTCTGTCTAGTCCACTTCACCAAACATGTGTAAACCTTTGTGATCCACCCTCACAATCTATTCTTCCTTCAAGAGATCCAGCTCAAGTCATCTAAAAGGACCATAATCGTTTTGAGATTTCATGATGAACACCTACTTACTGAGAACCAAAACACCTGAACTTAAAACCTACATGTCCCCCAAAAAATACAATCCTCAGAATGACAGTCCTCTGTAAAGAAGAGCTGCATGGTCATCTAAATTGCAGAAACAATTGAGCACCCTTGATCATTTCTATTTTTGACATTCCTGAGAAATCTTGTGAGAACCAGTTTGGCCCCCCAATTTTCCTAAGAGTACGTGACCATGGAACACTTTTTATGGCCCTGCACTTAGTATTTCTCAAGACACTGGTGCTCTCCCAGAACTTGACTTGAAAATTTCCTGCTTGGTGCCAGGGATTTAGCTCAGTGGTGCTGCCGCCTGCCTTGCCAAGTGCAAGGACCTGAGTTCAATCCCTGGCACAAAAAATAAATAAATAAAAATTAAAATTCAAAAAACTCCTGCTTTGTGCACAGGGCATGGTGGCGCATGCCTGTAATCCCAGCACTCGGGAGGCTAATGCAGGAGGATCGCTGTGAGTTCGAGACCAGCCTGGACTACATAGTGAGTTCCAGGTCAGTCTCAACTACATAGTGAGACCCTGTCCCAAAAAAACTCCTGCTTTGTGCACAGGGCATGGTGGCGCATGCCTGTAATCCCAGCACTCGGGAGGCTAATGCAGGAGGATCGCTGTGAGTTCGAGACCAGCCTGGACTACATAGTGAGTTCCAGGTCAGTCTCAACTACATAGTGAGACCCTGTCCCAAAAAAACTCCTGCTTGGCTTGTCAGCAGAGCTCACCTCTACAAGACAGTCCCTTACACACAGGAAAGTGGCTATGCCCATTGCAGACCTATGGAAGAGCATTAGTATTTGTCACTGCAACAACCAGGAGACTCATCATGAATACACATGAAAAACTTGGCGGGGAGGGAAAAAAGTAAGACTTAGAGTTAAGGAAACTACAGAGGATCCCAGGAGAACTGACCACAAGCCAGAAGATATATGAGGCCCTGGGCACATTATCCTTGGCTCTGAAATAATTCAGGAATTTCACCCTATCTGAGATCTAGAGTTCAAGCTCCAAGACTCACTGGCCCAGAACCTGGGTGGCTCTGGTCTTTATCTCCCAAAACAGTTGGCACTTGGGAGCCATTACAAACACCACACCTCATTCCACCCCCGCCTGCATGCAATACTGACACTTCTGACTTTGGACTTCAACTCTGTTCTGCCCCAACACCAGCAATTTAATAGCCACATATTAATATTCTTTGGGGAAAAGGGACAGCACAATGAGTTCACCTTTCAGGCAAGTAGACCAAAGATTACTGAGTGTTTAGGAAAGAAACTATCTCAACATATAAAAAGACTACTGTACAAGATAACAGTAGAAAAGAAGGCATCCAAGGGCTGGGGATTTAGCTCAGTGGCACCATGCCTCAAAAGAACAAGGTCGAGTTCAATCCCTGGTACAAAAAAAAAAAAGAAAAGGAAAGAAGGCATCAAATGAGGATTCAGCCAAAGCTCAGGGCAGCTCAGGTGGCTTGGGAAATACTGGGGAAAAGGAGCCAGAAAAACTCACAGAATGGCCCCAGTTTGCCTCTAATCCTTCAGAGTCTGGTCCATGATCCAAGTACTTTCTCCAAACTCAAGACAACTGACTTTTATTTATTTTAATTTTTGGTACTGAGGATTGAATCCGGGCCCTTGCACTTGCGAGGCAGGTGCTGGAACCACTGAGCTAAATCCCCTGCCCAAGACAACTGACTTTTATTTAACTGATAAATCCAGTGGCAAGCCAAACTATCAAAATGGGCAGCAGTTCCTCTTATTACCATACTAATGAACTCATGGTACTTCCACAATAAAGGTCAAAGAGGAAAAAAATTTCAAGTTACAGTATTTCTATATATAAACATGCACACAGGCACGTCAGCATAGCATAAGCTCACTTCCCCACTCCCCACTCTTGCTCCAGACACCTCTCCACAAACACACACAGTTAGCTCACACCCTGCCAGCTCACTGTCACACAGTACCTGTCATCTCTTTCCATGAGGTACAGAGTCTACTGATACCATTCACATAAAAAAATAAAAAGAGCGTCCCCAGATCCCCCTTGCTAAACCACTATGGACAAAAAAAAAAAACCACTATGGGGCCGGGGATTTAGCTCAGTGGTTCCTACACCTTCCTTGCAAGCACAAGGACCAGAGTTCAATCCCTGGTACCAAAAAAAAAAAACAAAACAACAACACTATGGACAGAGTGTAGCAGAGGTCATATGAGAGGGCGATAACCACCTACGCACTCTGTGTATGGCCTTAATAATTTTTCCCCCCTAAAGTTCTTAGCAAAATAGAGAACAGCAGGTCAGGAAAGAAAAGTCATCATAGAGAATAAAAGGAATAAGATTCTAGGTCCTGGCTTTCTGCTCTAATTTGACAGCAGCAAAATTCTTGGAAGTTTCTCTTCAGGGATCCCCAAGAAAAAATTTTCAACACAGAGGAACCTCAAACTCTAGATCACTTTACGTGTACTCAATAAAATTTCTTCCCATGGACTTTCATTAAGAGTCCACAATGAATAGAACCTCATGAGGGGTGTTGTAGTAGATTAAAGGGTAAGCAAGGCCTAACTTCTTGTTCCTTTCCCTCCTCTGGAACTATCTATTCCTTGCAAGATGACAGCCAGCCATTCGGTCTGATAAAATGACAGCAATATGTCACTGGCTGATAGCATATTCATGTATTATTGCCCCACCCCTGTGTCAGGTGTTACTACTAATGGTGGCTCAAAGGACTCAAAACAGTGATGATTTGGAAAACTTCAGAAGGTGGTAAGCCTGGGTATTTCAGGGCCTTATAACAGTCTACTTCACTCAGCTCTGAAGCCCTACCTCAGAAGCATCTCAAAACCCTATTAGAAGGCTCAGTGCACCTGCCTCACAAGCACAAGGCCCTGAGTTCAATCACCAGTACCAAAACAAAAAAACAAAACCAAAACAAACAAACAAAAAAACCACCCCATTAGAAATATCCATGGCAGGCCCACTCAGGGCACTAAAACCAAGAATCTCAAATTCTGGGACTGAATTTTCTAAGACACTATCAAAAGTATATGAAATATACAACTGCTAACTTCAGGTGCACCAAATGAGCTTGAGAAACTCCATGGCCAAAACAGAGGATTGTTTAAAAGGCAGGTATAAATTTTGAGATTGAGGGAGAATGGGGTTGGGAGAAAAGTAATTTAAGGTTAGCACCAATATGTGCTACTCCAAAAGAGTAAAACCACAGAGAGTAAACCTTGCCCAGAGCTCCTGTAAATATAGAACAATCCCACACATTTACAGCAAACAAACTATAGTAATTTACTGAGACAAAGAAAGTCTTGGGTCTCTTTTGCTTTTTCCACAGGGGATGGCAGGGATGGAGGGGAGGAGTGGTTCTCCACCCCAGAATCTAAATTCTTACAGCTTCAATAAAGGAGGATATAACAAGAAAGAGCTGAGATTCTCATTTTCACCACTGTGGCCCCAGTGCCCCTTCTATGACTGCTCTGTCCCTCTAGATGACTCACCAGGCATCAGAGTAAGACCTGTCACTCACAAGGGATTCTTAACATCGTACCATGAGGGCATCCTGATGGCTCTTAACTGGCCTCATCCTCTCATGGCTTGAACCAGTTCAAAGTTCTGGTCTCAGTAGCTCCTAGGCAGATGGGTCACAACTATCTGTCATTCTGGTTCTCCAGGGCCCATAAGGTCCCCTCCCCTGGGACCAGACCAGAATACTCTAGGCAAAGATTTGCAAATATCCCAACTCTTGCTTATGCTAAAGAAGCCAGTTCCTCATTCCCTAAAATATCTATTACGTCATAGTCTTAGCACACAGAGTAGACCTCAGACTTTTCCTATTAAATAGGAAAACATTACCTCCTAAAAAGAAAAATGCAAAAGAAAAAAGAAAACTCAGAATATCAGACCTAAATTCATTCTACCTAAAACCAATCAGTAAAGTATAAATTAACACATCAGTTAAAATTTGGAATAAAAACACATTTGAGAAATCAAGCTATACTTTCACGGTTTTAAAGATATTTTGGTCCTCTCTTATCTTAGGAATTTCTAGGCACTACTGACCTGCTAGCTCACCTTGAGGAGAGACCTTCAAATACAACCACCACTGACTGATAAATCAATACACACTTTGGGTTCAATACTTTCATCTATTTCCATACTAGCCAGCCATCTATGGTGACAGAACAAGGCCGGAGAGTCAGCCCATGTGATTCTTCTATTTTATCAGAAAAATGTTATCAGATAATGTTACCTAACTTCATAACTCATAAAGATCACTAAGAACAGCAGAGAAATCACTAATATAATAAATATTCATAGTAAGGGCTCGGTAAAATTGAACTGCTGGTTGCCCCTTTTGGAGAGCTAATTTTCAGTAGGCTGCTCTCTCAAGCATTCTCTTCCACAGAAAAACATCAAAGGGGCAAATGAGTATTACAAATGTCTGCGCTCAATTCTTGGCAGCAATTAAGATACACATTCTATTCCTCCTTGAGAAATTACTATTTAGACATACACACAACTCCTGCCAAGACTATTTCTAACTAGTCTTGTGGGGAACAAACTAGACTTACAGCAGGACTTGCAATCAGCCGTGAATGGGTGAGTTCTGAGCATATTCTAGCAGAATGAGGCTGTGGCTTAGAAAGAAGCTGTTCTTTGCCATAGAGCAGCAATAACTAGCTTTCTTTTCCATGGAGGAGAGAATTTCTATTTGATTAATAACTTGCTCCACACCCCCTTTAAGTTTGCCGCAGGTATTGAGACAAATTTCAAAAATTTAACACTTCCTTTCAGACACTGAAAATGAACAGCCAAGATATTAGCAAAACAACAACAACAAAAAAAAACTAAAAAACACCCCAATCCAAGAAGAAAATTAGCACAGTCTTCCACCCCCTTTCAATTCAAAAGTTACAGCTTCTGGCAAGACTTCCAGGAAAACTCAACTGGAACTCAGGTTTCTGACTCAAACTCTGACCAGGGTGTGCTGAGGGCTGTTATTTATCCCTTGTCAGAAAGAAGGACTCTTTGCCCACTAACAAGGAAGAGAGCTCCAGATTTCAGAATCAGAGAATCACAAGGAAAGGCCATTACTTCCATATCCACTACCAAGTAAAGGCAAGGAGATTTCCTACATATCACGCGTGTAGGGATTAAAAGCTCAAGAATAAACAGAAGAATTTAAAGTTCACTTTTAAAATGGTTTTGGAAACCAATCACACAATTTTAAAAAGTCACTATATTTGGTGTTTAACATTTAAACAGGTATCCACAATCTTCTAGGACATTCGAGTTCCTAAGAGCTGTCTCTTTTATAAGGTTAAGACAGACACCCTGGGGATGATCCTCACTGGGAGAAAGGTCACCAGGACCTCAAGCATCTGCTCCCTGGCTCCCACCCCAGCCTACGTGGTGGACCTGTCTGAAAACAGACACTCTCAACGCTTTTAAACTTTGCAGTGCTAGGGAGTCTTTCAAAATCTCAGCAACACGTCTGGGAGCTCAAAGCCCGAAGAAAATGCAACAAGTTATTTCAAAAAATTCCAAGAAGAGCAGCAGCTTATGAAACCTTTCCTGGTTTCACAAACGCTTCAGTGCTGTGCTCTCACGAGTCCCCGCCTGCCCGCCTACTCCAGCGGCACTTGTTCCACACACTCTTAAAAAGTCATGACTCGGGAGAGAAAGGCAGAGGAAGGAGAGGAGGAGAAGCAGTGGAAAGGTCTGGCTCGGTCCCATGGGTCCCCTCTGGCTGTATCAGAAAAAGCTGCTAGATTGCTCCAGCCTCCTGACACACCTGGGCACAACCAGGTAGACCAACGAGTCGGGTCCTCAGCTCCGCAAGCCTCCAGGTCTTAGTTCCCTGGACCCCAGATAAGGACACCAGAGCCCGACGTAGCAGGCCTGAGCTTCGTGGTCCTAGGACACCGTCCCGGGAAGGGCCACACTTACTCTCTGAGTCGCTAAAGCCGCTGCTGTCACTGACGCTGGCGCTGCTCCGCCGCTTCATGCGCTCCAGATGCTCCTCGTAGTGGAAGTGGCGCTGGTGAAAGGGCGACGCGAAGTCTGCCAGCACCGCGTCAAACTCGCACAGCGCGTCAGTCAGCTCAGTGGCGGCCGCAGAGGCCAAGGCCGGGGCTAAGGGTAGGGACGGTGGGCTCAGCGGATGGGTTTCGAGGATGGGCACCGCTGCCGGGAACAACTAACAGGCGCTTGCCGGGCGTCAGCCAGTTACCACAGCTCTCCCAGCCGCCCTCCCAGTGCATCCTACATCCGAGCCCACTGTACAGGTAGGAAGCAGTGCCTCGGCCACCTGCGAGGATGAAGCCCAGCTCGGTGCTAATGGACACAGCACGCGCTTTCCCACGCGCTGCCGGGTCCCACGCTCCTTACTCAGGGTGGGGGCGGGGGCGAACCTGGCGGGAGTCGGGAGGCTGAGTCAGCATGCGCCTCACAGATCGGGCTCGGGGAGCCCTGGGGGCAGGCAGAGTCTCGCCCGCCAGGATGGGAAGGCGGGAGTGTAAAGGGAACACAAGGAATCCCGCTTCTCAGTCCCCCG